TATTTATTGAGCAAAAATGCTTGCTAATCTGTGTTTCCAGATAATGAAATGTGAGGATTTTCTTTTCCTTATCATAGTAGGAAGTTGATTGTATTTGTAATGGGCTCCTGACTGAATAAGTCAGTTTGGGCTCATTTTTGACTGTCCTCGTACCTTAATATAGGGAAAAGGAATAATTAATTGATTAAAAATTGCAAAAAGTCTGCAGATTCATCCACTCAAGAACTCAAAGTTCGTTAGTTGAAGTCATAATTGCAAAGTAAAGTTAACTGAAATTCAGGAAAACTAGTTTACACAACAAAATTTGCACAATAATGACTTAGTAATGTGTTTTTGTATGCAAATTGAAGAAATGTGAGGATTTTATGCTTTTCCTTGTCATAATAGTAAATTGAATGTATTTGTACTGGGCTGTTGGTTGAATAAGTTCATTTGGCCATAAACAAAAAAAAAATGAATACAAAAAAACTGCAGATTCATACATAATAAAATGAAGTCAGGTGCAGACATAATTTCAAGGCAAAGTTGGCTAAAATTCGAGAAAACATGATGAATCCAGTTTACGCAGCAGAACTTGCACACTAATTATTTAGTAATGTGTGTTTTTGTGCACCAGTACAAGTACATAAACTGATAGCGAGACTCTTGCGCCACAGCTTTATGGCTTCTAAAACTATAAATAAGTGGTGCATTTACGCAGCGACTGCAGCCATCTGAGCAGGCCAAAGTGAAAATCATTAAGTGCTGAGACGAGCGACGCTCCAAATGACAAGCTGCTCCGCATTGTTCTGTTTTTCCGGTGGCACCCTGGGGCGCACTCAACTCCACGGAAAAGAGCCAACTCTGCCGGAGACCGACGAGCTGAGAGAGGAGGGAAAGGAGTCGGTGAGGAGGAGGAGGAGGAGGAAGAAGAAGAAGAGGAGGAGGAGGAGGAGGTGTGTTTGTGTGTAAAGAGTTGTAACAGACAACAGAAGAAAATGAGACAGCAGCGGAGAGGAACTGAAAAGATCCAACAAAAGAGAAGACAGAGATGGAAAGGGAGGGTGTTCCAATCCATCTCTTAACCTTATTAAGAATGGATGGTGCTGAGGAGGAGAAGGATATGGAGGAAATGAGGAGGGAAGGGAAGGGACAAAGGATGAAAGGAGTTTAAAGAATAGCAAGGAAGGTGCACCGAGGGGTTAAGATGAAGACGGAGAGCTGCACAGGAGGAAACACAAGCGAGCAGAGGGTCTAATGAGGAAAATACTGCCTGCAGGCACACAGCGATCACTCAGAGCCCCTTTGGTGGAGACTTCCTCACCGTGATAATAACGCCGGGGGTCAATAATATCGGAAAATGGTGAAACGATTAACATTTCAAAGTTCGAAGGCGTTGCGGAAAGTCAGAGTGGAGAGAAAAATGCCAAAATGAGTTTGCAGCTGATGTCTGAGGCTTGTACAGTTTGGGTTTTTCTTTTTTCTTTTTGAATGTGTGTGTTTGTGTGAAGACAGCCAACTGTCATGCAACTAATAGGAAACAAGCAACAACTTGTCAGAAAATGACTAAAATGAGAAATCTAGCAGGAAGAGTGCACAGAAAGCTGAGTAAACTGTTTCCGAGTAAATGCACAAAGAACTCCAGTGTACCTGTGCTCTAATGTACCCGAGCAAAGACTGAGCTTCAGTGCTGCATCTACCTGAGGTGCTTCTTCAAAGAGCAGCAAATTAGGCTACACACCCCCCTCCATCCTCTCCACACTCACACACAAACAGAATTAGTTTACTGGGGTACTAGGATACACTGGCCCTCTGGTCTAGATCATAATTAGTTTTTCATGGATCCCCGTCTTTATCAGCCTATTTAAGAGGCTCTGCAGAAGCTGAACTACTTCTTTTTTTTCTGTCCCCTCCCCTCCATTAAAGCAGCATCAGCAGATCTCCAGGCCAAACATTTAGGAGGCACCTGAAGAAAAATAACTCAATAGCATTGATGAGGGGACCTGAAGCCACACTGGGCTGCCAAAGTGACAAATCCAGATCAAATGAATACATCATAGTGGGGAAGGGAAAATTCAGATGGAAGGTAGGGATCGATACCAATACAGTAGTAAGACATTGGTGTAAATAATTAAAGAGCTGTGATAAAATTGGATTGGGTGTAGCTGCTGTGTGACCAGTTTATTTGGATTGACAGTAAAAGCAGCTCTGAAAGTGAAGCTGATCACTGCTTTATGGATCAGGTGAGGAAGTTTCAGTCTGGATTAAGAGAATTTCACCCAAAAAGATGCGATAAAAGCGCAGCGGATTTTTGGAGAAATTTGGACAGGCACAATCAGCTGCGGGTGTCCAGACACCTGGGGCTTTGATCCGTGACACCCCACGTGCCTCAACGGAGTGTCGGTTCACCTGTGAAATCTACTCCGCCGAACGCGAGCCACAAGTCTGGAGGAATCTGCAACATCGCCTCCGTGCGTAAGTGCGCACTGCGCCGCACCGGTCCGTACGCGCCGCTCGCTGGATGTGTTCATCCCGCGCTACACCCGCCCCGACCCGCCCGGAACCTCCACATACTCACATCCAAAATCACGGAGATGCCTCTCCGCGGTTCCGGGGCGAAGAACTGCTCCTGAGCCACGGCCACCTCCTCCTTGCTGGAGGCGTACTCCCGGCTGGAGATGTTCTTGTTGTCGCTCATTTTGGTGACGATCCAGCGGACGAGCCCGTCGATTCCACCGGGCTGGGCGCCGCTGTTTCCGGACTGCGCTGCCGTCGCGGACTCGCTGTCCTGACCGGCTACGGGGTTCGGCTGCTCGCGGCTTTCCTGGGCTCGAAGTTTGGCTTGTTCTTTGTTGAGCAGTTTGTGGACTCCGTCCCTACAGTAGCGCGCTGCCTGCTCACACATCCTTTTGCTGCGGAGCGCTCATGCTGCGCTCTATGGGGGAGAGAGAGGAGCCCCCACCCCCCAGCTACCCTCTTACATCACAGCACCCACCCGAAACACACCGCCCACCCCACGCATCCCACACAGCCCCACGGACACCTATATACCCGACAAACACTCGCATATCCAGTGGGAGCTGTTATTTACAAGGTTTGGAGGCTTATAGTGACTTTAATGCACTTCGTGAAATTTACTGTCTCATATTATTTTATTACACTCCATTAATTCACATTTATAGAGAACAGCTCACTGCCCTGAGTGAATGCACTCTTTCTCCTTATAAAATGTAAACGTGCAAAATTATTTTTTAAATTATTATTCCTGTTCTACACTGTAAAAAAGGAAGAAGAAAAAAGAAAAAAAGTGTTTTGAAGAGTTAAAATAACAAAAAAGATATTTGCAATTATTTGAAAAAAGCTAAAAGATGTTGAAAATTTTTTTTTGGTTCCATTCTGTAAAAAAAACAAAAAAAAAACACAATAATTGTTTTAAACTGTAATGTTTTTTGTTTTTGTTTTTTTCTAACAATTTACTGTTATTTTACCGATTTCCTCTTTTTTTTGTAAAATTACAGATAATAACTAGTACATCATAACTGGCATTTTTAAACAACATTTGAATAAAATTAGGCTACTTTTAATGTATTTATATCAGCTAAATATATAGTACATTTTCAGATATTGATAGCAATAGTCATTATTTTTTTTAAAAAGTTGAAAGGTGGTAAATATTTTTTTGAACGATTACAGATTTCCACTATTTTGTGAAATTACACATAATATTTAGTATCATCACAGAAAAAGTGATTAATTTACATGTTGACTTTAAAATAAAAAAAAAATAAAAAATCAGGCATAAACTGAAAACAATGTCCACATCAAAAAGCTGTGTTTTTGTCAAGGTTTTTCATTCTTTTACAGCATTTGACTTTAAAATTATGATTATTTTATTTTTTATGACCCGAGCAAAGACTGAGCTTCAGTGCAGCTTCTACCTGAGGTGCTTCTTCAAAGAGCAGCAACTTAAGCTACTGTATTTATTCAGCTAAAAACGATTATTTTATAGATCTTTGCTATTGTTTTGACTGGTTTTTACAGCTATTGAATGTTAATTCTTAAAGGTATTTTTTCTGGCTCCCTTGCTGCCAGATTTTTACTGTCTTCTTTTACCAGAGTAGGTGTAGGTGTTGTCAGCAGACAGATTACATCTGTGCATGTTGTAATAAACCTGCAGACCACCTAAAACTGCTAATTAGTGCTTAAAAGCAGGCTGAATTGTGAGACAGGTGATGACATCCACTTTGTTTTTCCCTCTGGTTTAATGTCTAATCTGAACAAAGGCAATGCTGCACAGCCTCCCTTCCTTTTAAACAGCCACAGCGGGAGGTGTGGGCCACCGGTCTTGTGCTGCTTGCTGTGTCCCAAAGGGAGGATCAGAGGGTTTTTCTCCCGGAGTAAAAGGAGTGTCTCTTCAACTGTCACTCCAACGCCTCATTAGAGGTTTACGTGTGTGCGTGTGCGTGTGTGATGTGACAGATCTAACCTTTGGTAATGAGCGACTCCCTCAGCTCTGCCCTTTCCGCCGGGTAGCGAGTCTTTTCCTGCAATGTGCCGGGTGTCTAACAGCACACAGGGTGGTTTGGACAAATTAACTCCTGCTGGAGAGTTGACACTTTAATACACGGGTTATCAGAGTGACCAAAAAGGCAGGAAAGTCAGGTAGATTATGCATCTCGCCCACCCTGTCAACTGAAGCGCTGAAATCACTTGACATGATTGCCCCCATGTGGAAATGAGTACGCAATGGCAGGCCTGGGCTTCTGCAGGATTTATTCAGTTAAATATTAAATATTTACGAACACATTTGTGAGAACTAATTATTTAAACCACATAAATACGCATAAGGCAATTCTGGCATGTATTTTTTGGCATTGACATTAATATTAACGGTTTAGTCCTCGGATAAATAATTTGTCAACACATGTAGCTGAAGAAAAATGCAAATAAAATGAAACAATAAAAGCCCAAACGGATGCATATGTGGATTCATTTTGGCATCTGTGTGCGTCTACATGTCCTTAACCTGACTCGGGGCGGTATCCCTTCAGGTAATAGATCCATGAGCAGGGTTTGTGGTTGCCCTCGGAGCGCTGGCTGGAGATGGACAACCTGCCAAACCACGGTCCTGGAGAGCCTCCTGGAGGAACCTCAAAGGACACCTCGATGTTTTGGGTCTTTTTAGGGAGGATGTTGTCCCTTCCTTTGACAGTAAAGCAGGGGTTGTTGACCTAGAAGCGGCATGATTAGGTTTAAATCATCCGTTACAGGCAGAATTAACTGAATAGATGCTGAACATGTAAAGGTTGTATCCAGGATCAAGAGGAGTAACATTACTCTAAACATCAGAGTATAAAAGCGAGCTTGCACCACTCTGCAAGCTGTTCCAGGCTAAATTTAAATCTGTTTGCTTCATGCAGGCTGGCAGTGCACCCAGTGTAAATATTGAAAGAAAATGAGCCTTGGTAATGCCACTGCACAGGCTGCCTGCATAGTGTTTGCATTAGAATCTTATTAATCCCTTTCTTTCTCAGTTACTCTCCCAAAACAAGACATTTCAACTTTTGTTCCAATCTTGTTATCTCCGTGGGCCTCTTTACAAGTTCTACAGGCTCCTCACCTGAAAAGAGAAAGCTGTGGCCTGCGGGAACACGTTCTTGAAGGGGATAGTGACGCTGCGACCGGCCTTGATGTTGAACGGACCCTGAGCTTTCGGCGGGAGGCAGACCCCGTGTAAGGGAAAGATGTATTCACCACCAATTACCGAGGACAGGCTGAGCTGGCCTCTCACTTCGCCCAGCTGATGAGGCTCGAAACAAACTTCCACGCTGGCATCCGACCCCTCCTGGAAACCTGGAGACGCTCGAACGCTCTTGTCCAAGCTGAAGTCTGGGCAATCCGTCTGGAGCAGAAAGATAGTAGGAAGGGAACACGTGACAGCGAGTAAATCACTGCAGGTATTTGAGTCAGGGGTGGGCAATCCTGATCCTCGAGGGCCACAATCCTGCATGTTTTAGATGTTTCCTTCTTCCAACACACCTAATTCAAATGATCAGGATCATTATCAGGCTTCTGCAGAGCTTGATGATGAGCTGATCATCTGAATCAGGTGTGTTGGAAGAGGGAAACATCTAAAACATGCAGGATTGTGGCCCTCGAGGACCAGGATTGCCCACCCCTGGTTTTAGTGATGTGTGGGTTCACTGGTGGACAGTTTTTAGTTTATGACTGAAACAGTGTAATGCTGCTGAAATGAAATATCAGGAAATTGAGCACACTTGCAGCAATGGCATAAAGATGTCAAGGATGAATGGGTTATTTTAGCTTGATTTCAACTGTCTTGCTACCAAAACCAGCTCGTAACATGTAAGCGGGGATGTCCAGTGAAGAGAGGGAGTGTGGGTTTATAAATGTAAAGGTTGAGCTCTGCAGTGTAAGTCAGTACATCTCTGTGTGTCTGTGGAGATTATCTACCATCCAGGTTATAGTAATCCTGAATCAAAGGCAACTTTGTGGTCCTTATGCTAACAAGACATTGTATATAATGCTTTGTGTATATAGTACTTTGTTTAAATTATTTTTATTTCTAGTATTCTTATTTTTATTCTTATTTGCACTGCTGCTATTGTCGTGTTCTTCCACACAAGTTTCGTTGTACTTCTGCACAATGACAATAAAGTCTCTTTATCTTTATCTTTATCTTTTTCATGCTCATCATTGTCAGCCTTTATCACAGAAGTACAAGATAATATTTATCTAGTCTTTAAAAACCCGGAACTGTAGAAAAATTGATAGAAAAGTGGCTCCTTCAGTCTTAACTGACTGCTGGGGAGATCCAGGTGATATATAAGATAAATACCTGCATCTCCTCACCAGTCAGTTACAAATAAAGACACCTAATGGATGAGATGTAGAACATCTTCAAGAACCAGAAAAAAAAAAAAGTTCAGTTGCCTTCTACTGAAGCACTTAGTCCAAAGACTGAAGGACTAAGAAACTCAAAGCATATTCTCCTTTAGTGTTTTAAAGTAAATACAACTTCCACCTTTGTCTCTATTCAGCTACATTTCTGAGTTATGAAGAACTGATAAAAAGATGCTGAAGGTGATTTTAGACTTCTGCGATGAAAGCACTGTATTGCGAGCAGAGAAATATTTTGTTACCAAACAGGCGTATTCGGTTTTGATGCGGGAGTGGTTGATGAACTTGACCAGGACGGTGTGGCTGCTGCCCAGTAGAGCGTTGAAATGCACTGTTTTCTCCGACGGCGGAGGCAGAGCTCTGAGAAGCAGGTCGTAGTGGAAGAAGCCCAGCTCATTACTGGACAGAGTCAGCCGTGATGTCGACTCGCCTGCCTGCAGAGGCTGATACTCAAACCTCAAAACACCCTAAAGGGAGCAGATAAACATAGAAACAGTCTGAGTCTGTCGGTGGTCAAACTGTTTTTTTGTTTTTTTTATTGTAATATAGATGTACTCAGAATCCACCTTGGACTGTCCCGACACGGTGTGCTGAGGTGGTACACTGATGTCGAGGCTTTTACACTCAGGGGTGAAGCAGACAGGTGTGGTTAGGGGGTTCTCCACCTCCACTGCGCCCGAGACGGTGCGTCGAACAGCAGTCGCCACCTCAATGGTGGACAGGACTCCTGGAGATGTGGCTTTGAAGGTAACGAGGTAGAACAAGTACTCGCCTGTCACCTCGTTACGAAAGGTCACCTGAGGGACAAAGGGTTAAAGCGTGACGTGAGGCTCAGAAATGTGTCCAGATGTGGTCAGACAAACGTGAGTGTGATCCAACCTTGGTGTTATATTGTCCCTCTCTGTATGTAAAGAAAGACATCTCGTAGTCTCTGCTGGCAAGAGCAGGAACGTCGATGAACTTGAGCCCCGTGAGGACGACTGTAGGATCTGGTTTGTCCGGCTTCACCGTCTCCAACAGCACACAAAACCTGAGAACACACAGAAACACTTATGACCTCACTGTACACCGCTAGGTTTCCATATATACTTTGGCAGGTAATTTGTTGGCAAATATAACACTGTAGGTTAGTCAGGTTCATCTGTATTACAGATATTAATGTAGAGTGTTAACCTTAGTGTTCAAATTAGTCAGGTAAATTTGGATTGTAGACTCTTAAATTACTCAGTTAAATTCATATAATAAATAAAATTGTGGTGTCTTTGAGCGGCAACCAAATTCCTCTACTGGAAATCCCTTTCGATCGATGGCTGTTGCTTTAAATGCACAGTGTAAATGCTGCTATTTATAGGTGTTTATATTGCTCTTATTTTTATTGATCTACTTTATTTCTTTATTCCTCAATTTTTTACCTTATTCTTTTTTTCTGATTACAGTACACAGAGCGCTAAGATTCACTGGAGTCAAATTCCTTTATTTGTGTGTACAACCTTGGTCAATAAAGTTGATTCTGATTCTATATAAATAATAGTGAGTTAAATAATATTAACAGATTTTGTTACGCAGCTTTGTTTCTGTTGTATTTCTTTTTAAACTTTATCTTAACCGTTATCTTATCATCTGGGTATCCTGCTCTTCAACTGTCTGTCAAAGCACTCTGGAAATCCTTGTTTTTAAAAGTGCTATACATATAGAGTTATTATTCATTTCATCATTAGTTTTAATTGCATGATTTACCAGAAACTACCTGCTCCCATGTTGGCACAGGATAAAAAGTTTGCTTCAATTAAAGTTGTAAGATTATTTCCCTCCACTTTATTTTTCACAAAAATACAGAAAATTAAAAAAAAAAAAAAAAAGTGAATTTCACTTCACTCGGCTCGAGTCAAGTGTTCAACACTGGCCTTTAATTAATACAAAAATACATTAAATGAATTTGGGAATAAAAGCAGTTGCAATGTGAAAGCGGGTTGAATCTGCAGCTCCTCTTGGCTTTAGGGAGCTTTCCAGCAAGTTTCAACTCTTTGTTTAGCTGTCTGGTTTAGAACTTTAATGTGTTTTTTAAACTCTTGCTGCTTTCATAGAGGCAGTTTAGGCAGCAGACACAGATAGACACCAGCTGATGGCACATCTAGCAGCTGAAGAGTCAGATAGTTTCTGCAGAAAAAAATGGAAATAAAAACTGAGCAAACAGAGTGAATGTTGAACTTTCATTCACCAGGTGGCTCGACACACAAATCCAAATGTATGCTGATGTCGCACTGTAACTGCTGTTTATGCATAAACAACATAAAGGGTAATCAAATCAAATTGACTAAGAGGAATGTAATTAGTCATGGGATGCCTACAGGGGAGCTGCAAGGTGTATCGGTGGTTAGCATCGTTGCCTCGCAGCTAGAAGATCCCCAGTTTGCCAGTTAGGACGCCCGGGATGTTTCTGTGTGGAGTTTGCATGTTCTCCCTGTGCAGCGAGGGTTCTCTCCAGGTTCTCCAGCTTCCTCCCACAGTCCAAAAACATCCATCCATCCATCCATTATCTATACGCCGCTTAATCCTCACTAGGGTCATGGGGGGCTGGAGCCTATCCCAGCTGACTCAGGGTGAAGGCAGGGGACACCCTGGACAGGTCACCAGTCTATCACAGGGCTACACTTAGAGACAGACAACCAAGCACACTCACATTCACACCTACAGACAATTTACAATCACCAATTAACCTCAACATGTTTCTGGACTGTGTGGGAGGAAGCCGGAGAACCTGGAGAGAATCCACGCTGCACGGGGAGAACATGGAAACTCCACGCCGAAGGATCCCAGTGCCCCTACCGGGACACGAACTGGCGACCTTCTTTCTGCAAGCCAACATGTTCTGATGAGAAACTTTGGGCCCTGACATTCATGTGGATGTGCCTTTGACACGTACTTTTGCTACAGACCAAACACACTCCATTCATGGCTGCAGCACTCCCCCAGCAGGACAATGAGCTCTGCCACACAGCAAAAACTGCTCAGCAATGGCTCAGAGAAAAATAGCCCAAAGCGTTAATCTTGCCTCCTAACTCCCCAGATCCCAACCCAATCGAGCATCTGTGGAATGAAATAGGCCCGAATCACGGTGGGGCCCCAGTCTAAAGAACCCAAAGGATCCGCTGCCAAAGTCTCTGTGCCAGACACTAAAGGACACCCCCAGGCCTTGTGTCCATGCCCTAAGAGGTCAGGGATGTTTGGGGAGCTACACAGCGGGCGGTTTTAATGTTGTGGTGCATGGTTTAAAACACTTCAAGCTGTGTGTGTGTGTGTTTTACCGCTGTTGCCTGGAGAGCCAGTTGTGAACAGGCAGCAGCTCCGTGTGGTGAGTTTTGGCCGGCAGCTCGTGCACTATGGTGTCTACTGCTTTGGGAGGATCAGCGGTTCCCTGCAGGGCGTACAGCATGCCCGTCCCATCGGGGAAGGACAAAAAGATTGATCCCTGAGGAAGGAAGAAAGTGGAACATATCAAGTTCATGTCAAAGATTAAGTACTTTGTAAATGCATTAAAAATATGCACAATTAACTGATGGAGTGACAATGTTGTCGCTCTATCCACCTGGTGTTTCTTTCCATCAGCAGTCATGGTCAGTGGTTGGTAGGTGATCTTGAAAGTCTTGTTTTGGTTGGGTTCGAGGGCCACAAAAGGCGAAGCCCTCCATTGTTCGCCCTCAATCACAGGTGTGATGCTGCAGCGCTGGTTTGTGGGGTTGAGCACCGACAGTGTCTGGGTGTGAGAGCTTCGCACCGGGCAAACAAAATTCAGCACCTGGAGATACAAAGAGGGCAGAATGAGGTGTGACAATTACGCAATAGATAGCACAACAACACCGAAATAACAAATGTAGGAATCTAGGTCGTTGTCTCTATGGGACACAGAAAAACTTATTTATGCTGTTATAATAAAATAATTACAATACAGCTTCAACTTATTTTTAAAACAGCATCGCAACTTTTCCACAGCATTTCCTCAGACCGCAGAGCTACTCAGCTAATTGAAAGCGACTGAAAGTTTTTGCACATCTTTAAATCTGTCAACAGCCTGTTCCAAGTGAGCCAAATCAATGTCTCACATTATCTGACGCTAGCCTTTAACCATCCCTGCACAGAGAAGCTGCACCGCTGACAAGGCAGCTTTTAGGTTTTTTTGCCCACTGGAAAAGCACCAAAATCAATACCCAAATTCCCAAACTGCTAGTTTTTCAAGTGTAAAAACCTTTTAGTTACATTGACGTGTTACGTGTGATATATAGATACACAGTGATTTTATGAATACGTTTGGAAGTCTCTTTGTTGAGGAAATATTGGAGTTGGGACGGGAAATTTAAACCTGCTCTATAGCTGTTATGGCACCCTGCCACTCTTGCTACTGCTGCTTTTGTAAAAAAAAAAAAAAAAAAGATACACTCTCTAACCGCTCGTGCTATTGTGCATGTAAAATGTGTAAAGTCAAGTCCCTGTTATTTATATAGCACATATAAAACAACAGCCACTGAGCCAAAGTGCTTTCCAATGGAGATTAAAGCCACAAATTTATCTGAGTAATTAAGGTTAAGACACTACAATTGTATTCATTAAACAAATTTACCAGGAGTCATCATACATCATTGTGCATGACAGTTTCTTTACTTTATGTTGGTAATCATAATTAAAATCTAACTAAGACGCCGGTAATTAAGATGAAATATGCTTTCTCCCAGCAAGGAAAAAGTCATGCTTGTAAATCCTCAAAATTAGGAAACGTCCCACAACCAATGAAATGCATCATGTAGATTTTTCTGCTTTATTACACACTATATCTGAACAAAAACAGGGCTTCAGTCAAACCTCTTTGCTGGTGGAGGCGGCGATGCAGGAGCCTGTGACGGTGAGCGTGATGGCGGAGGAGGATCCTTCCACAAAGCAACACAAGTTCTCATATCTGGTGTCATTACTCAGCTCCACGGGGGCGAAAGTCACGTCTAAGGGAACCTCCATGCCGGGGCTGATGTATCCTTTAGCTGGTTTAATGGACAACTCTGCAGGGAAGTTCTCTGTTTTCCACTGGAACCTGGTAATCCGGTGGAGAGGAGAGTAAAACGCAGAGAGCAGTTTAGAAATCCAACCGGAAAATGTGGAGAATTCTGAGCATGTTACAACTGACTGTATTTCTGCATCGCTGTGGATGTTTTTCATAAAGTCTAAAGGGGATTTCAGCTTTGACTCAGATAGCCAGTGAAGTACCACACTGGATAATACACTTTATAGGATCTAACCTTACCTGGCACCACAGTCTCCAGTGTTCCTCATCGAAATCTTCTTTCTGCTTTGGCAGCGCTGGACTACAGCTCCAAAGGAGAGGTGGTCTGGGTCCAGCAGGACCTCCACATCCTCACAGATTAAAATAGAATAAGTATTTAATATAACTTTAATCAAGATACAGAGTCCACAGAAAACATGTTTGTTACAAGATCATATAAGAAGTCACTCGTATTACATGTGCAGCATTTCGTGCTCATGTGCAATATTGTCAATGTAGTGTACAATATTTAATTATCATTTAAGTTTTCAGGGGCAAGATTTTATTTTCAAGTGTAATATTTCATTTTCATGCACAACATTTTGACTATATGTGCAATATTTTACTTTCATGTACAACATTGTCAATTTAACATGCAATATTTAATTTTCCTCTCATTTTTTGTTGCAATATTTAATTTTCATGGATAATATTTAATTATCATGTATGATGTGACGTATTAGCTCAGTTTTAATGTCGCCTTACTTTCTGTGTTATATTCTAGTCGTATTTTAGCTTACTTATTATACTTCAGCAATGTATACTTATATCTTATTACTTTTTTACTTGATAGGCACTGCCTTTTTTCTGTTATGTTATTTGATTCGTTCTGGGCAACATCTGGCACAAGAATTTCCTTCGGTATTAACAAAGTCTTATCTTATCTAAAAAACAATCAGAACTTGTTTTTAAATGACACATGTATGGGTAGTAGTTATGAGAATAGTGCATCAATAAGCCTACAATTTTATACTTGTCAGGTAAAGCCAAGAAGAACATCGTTTGCCTCATGAAATTACTGGATGTGCTCCAGTTCCTACCTGGCAGCACCCTTCAATGGTCAGCAGGGGGTGTACCAAGCCTGAAAACTCTGCCTGCAGCTCGGCAGTGAAGGGAGCAACGTGCTGACGAGGTGAGAACTGGATCTCAACATTACACGAGCCGCCGTTAGATTTCAGTTTCAGCTCGCCTGCCGGCCTGAAAGACAGATCCTGGAGGAGAGGGAGGTATTAGTAGGCGCTGCCTCAGTGGACCGCTGTTTATCATTGTGCGTGTGTGTGTTTTGCCAACCTTCAGATCCAGAGGTGTGTTTGTGTTGAGCGCCAGGATGAAAGAAAGATCTAAACTGCTGCGGTTGATTAGAACCACTTGTTTTTTCACCTTCTGACCCAAAGTCAGAGATCCCAGTTTCACCTTCTTCTGTTTGGGATCCTCCACTTCCAGCTGATGCAGGATAATGATGTTAAATACACTTGATTTTAATAGATTTTACAGCAGACTTGTACAGTGGTCAAATGTTAAAACTAGACATATTTAATGGCCATAAGTCTTGGGTTAAAGTAGCGTTTACAAACAAGCTGTTGCAGTTACTTCTCAATCCAGTTTAGCTTCTCTCACTAGAAGGCAGTATTGCATCTATGCAGAAAGTAGTATTCCCAAAGAGGCAATCTTAGCTCATATAATTTTGTTGTCAGTATCAGATTAAAAAAACAGCACACACACAGTCTTCCATCTCACCTTCATCTCAATGCCTTGTCCCAATACGTCCACCTGTTTTGTGATACAGCTGCTTATGATGAAGGTGAGCTTCTCGTGATATCGACACACCTCACGAGGACAGAAGGTGACCGGTACCTCCATCGCAGCACCAGGGGACAAAACATCTGGCTGGAAGTCCATCTCAAGGAAAGCAGTGTTCTTGAACTGACACTGGATGCTGAGGGGAGGAAAAAAAAAAAAAGCCCAGATGGTTGGTTTTAGACTGGAGATTACACACTATTATTGTGGATAAAAAACACAGTTTCGTTAGGAATTAGACACACCTGACGTCCCTTTTGCCTTTGTTGCTTATCACCAGAGTCCGGGATGGCGGCACCATTCCAGGACAGTACAGGAAGCACTTGCCAAAGTTGAACTTGGTGAAGGAGAACTCAAGGCTAGGCGCCACAGCTCTGCCTTTGATGGCGAAGGCAAATGTTGGCCCGTACTTCACCTGGTGAGATGAGAAATACACAAGAAGAACCTAACTGACTCTATGATTGAGTTCTACATACTAACCAAACACAATTCACAGTTACAGATTATATTTAATGCCAGTGTGTTGGGATTAATAATAAGCTACATTTTGCTGTTGTTTCTGAAACACAAATGTCTATCATGCTTGAGTAAATGAAACACCAATTAACAACACTGGTTAAAAAAAAAAGTATTCTCAGTTCTTATCATCTAGGTGTTGATAATTTTCCTTTGGCGCTGACTGAAACCTCCTTGAGAGGCGTCTACAACCTCTTTGAGGGTTGCCAGAAAAATCCCTGGACATGAAAAGACCCCTTGAAGATTACCAGCTAAAGTTTAAGATGTCTCTCTTTGTGTTTTTGCTCAGTAAATGGGGTGTTGGTTTGCTTTGAAGGTTTTAAGCCAATGAAGCAAAAGTCTAGTTCAATAATACTGTCACTTGGTATTTGTGTCTTAGTCAAATGATGAAATAAAAAATAAAAAAACAAAAAATGTGTTAAAGCTTTACAATGCCACATCTTGTCAGCAGACTGGGTTGTTTTCACTACGCTTTAGAAAATGTGGAAACAGCAACATGAACTAGGGGAAAGTCTGTATCACTGTTAACCAATTATTTATGGCTGCACACGAAGACAATCTTTCTTAGCTTGACAAAGACAAACTACTCGCAAAAACTTATATTTTGGATTAAAAAGCCCTGCAGATCCTTTAAAGCTCTGCTACCTCTGTAACAACCCACAATACCTTGATATTAAGTCCGATGTCCCGGAGGTTGCACATTTTCAGTGGACTAAAGAACAGTGCTGACTGCAGCTGCTTTCCAACCTCAATAGTACCATTTTGTGGTTTTGCCTCCAAGTGTTGCAGCAGCTCTGTGGGACCCGTCAGGTCAAAGTTCACTTCCATGGTGAATTTTGCTTGATTGGACACCAGGAAATTAAAGGCTGATTGCTCTGAAATCCCCACCTAGAAACAGACACACAGGAAGGTGAATGTCACATTTAAAGTTCACATATGAAGGCGTGCGGCTGTGCATGTCAGCATGGGTGTCTGTAGAGGGAACCTGTGCCGACCTTCCCAAAGTCTAGAGGGTCTTGGTGGTTCTCGTTGAGGCCTCCGTCTGGATTCTGAACTTGAACAGAAGCGCTCATGGTGAAACAGTCGGCCTTAACTGTCAGTGTGAGCGGCTCTGACTTCCTCTTCACCCTCAGTACCAGTCTGAAACTCACATTTCCCTCCAAGGAAGGTGTGAAGGACACTGACAATGGCAACCTGCATCAAAGAGTTCACAACCAATTGACAGATACACAGTTTTCTTTGACAGAACAGTACAGCTGCCTCATAAACATCAATGTCTTTAACCTGAAAAAAATCCGTATGGCATATTATTATCAAAGTATTAACAATAATTTGTATTTATTGTATGTTAGAGGGTCATTAACCTGTCCTTTGGTGCCACTGTGCCAGTCATTGGCTGCACATTGAGGCTTGATTGCTGGTCTTCACAGAGAAGAGACGACTGCAGGACAGTGAAGTGGAAGGGCTCCTCCTCTGCATTCACCACATCTACTGTCTGCTCCGCTTTATGACCTGTGCAGGAAAATACACACACAACTGATTGCACAGCATGTCGAATAAGAGCATACATTAGAGTGGAATACATCATTCATTCATCGTCCTTAAAAGCAACTAACCAGTGTCACTACACATCTGCTGATAACCCCCATTTTAGAATCCAGATGTAGTTCTGATCTGAACTCTAAAACCACTAACAGTATGTTAATGCATAAATGTGCTGTTTTACTATGAGACCAGAGATTTTAACAATCAGCTCCCTTTTATACTGCTCTTATGGACACATAGAGTTAAGCTTGTTTCATTTTAATGAAGTAGGCTTCAATATTTATGTGTGATTCATCTAAACCTCATTTCAGAACCATTCATTGTTCAAATTGTGGAATTAGATGCTGCAAAGTCTAATTTATGAGCCTATTTAGTTTCAATATCACCTACAAAAGGGAAAACTTTATATTTGTCAATGCATAAAGTATTTTTTGGATGACCAGATTCAGTTCTTTTTACTGCAAATCAGTGCACATGCTTTAGTTTTAGATGACAATGACTGATGTTTCTTTACACTGAACAAAACCTTAACCCCAGCCAGGGCTGTGTGGATATCATCGAAATAAACCAATAAAAACCTTCAAAATTACAAATATGCTCTGAACTACAAAGGATATATGCAAACTTCCTCATAATGTCACCACCAGAAGAAGAAATATTCATAAAGTGCATGCCATTGTGTATGTGGTGTGGCCATTAAATGATGGAGCAACACTATTACAAACCAGAAACTTATCAAGAAAGGGTCAGAAGAAAGAGGCCACAGCTGCGATAAAATGGTTTTTATCCTTCATCAGGAAAATGCACCAGCACACTCAGCTCTTTCAGTGAAGCCGTTTTTGGCCCAGAAATGCATTGCAGTACTTGACCATCCTCTCTTTCCATCTGATTTAGCACCATGTGACTTTTTCTCTTTACCCTAAAATCAGGTCTGCACTCAGGGAACCTGTTTCAAGTCTAATCCAGGAGTGACGAAAAAAGCAACAAAGCTTCAGAGACAAATAAAGGAAGATCTGCTGCTCTGCTTTGATCCGTGGAGGAACAGAATGCAGTGGTTAAAACTGAATTGCAGCATTATTCTTATTATTTAATGGCCACACCTCGCATGTATGAGAGTGTTACGTACCAACATGCAGTTCTCCAAAGTCAAGATGAGGTCTGTCGAGATAAACGAGTGGCTCTCTAGCTGTTCCCACAAACAGGAAGGGAACAGACACTGACAGAGTCTCAATCACAAAGCTCCAGAGTGACTCCATCGCATCCAGCTGCTCAGCTGCATATTCAAAACACATCTGCACACACAGACAGAACAGAGAAGTAGGGATGATTAACAGCTCAAAAAAAGTAAGTAGGAGAGTGAGATGGATTAAGTTTCAGAGGAGTGGGAAGAAGAGTGTAGAGTGATGATTAAAAAGGTTAAAACAAGGAGACAGAAAGAAACATAATAATATATAATATGCAATAAAGGAGGCAGGACAAGGTGACAAACTGGAGGAAACTGGAGGAGAAATTATATGAGACATCACCACTCCTCTATGATTTAAGACCGCTTGATTGTGTGCATTAATTTCCATTCTTACTTCCACTTTATTCCCAGATTGGATGGTTCCACACGGTGTGAGACAGTTGAACAGACCACCAGCTGTGTCCTCACACCTCCACTGGAATAAGTAGGGCTTACTGGTTGGGTTCACCACACTGAAAGATCTGCAGAGGAAACCACACACATAAAACATTAGGGTTCACACAGACAGAACTGAAAGATTCTTATCTCTTCCTCTATTACCTTGTTGCTGGTGCAGACACTCCGATGGCATTGAACTCTAAAACCCTGGTGTTGGGGTCCAGAGGGCTCCTGAATTCGGGGTTGCGGCGGTTTCCGGTGATGTAGTCCGAGTCCTCCAGGTCAAAGTGGCAGTGGGGCAACACACTGCGGCCGCACACTGACATACTGGGGGCCTCATCCCCATTCTGCAGGTTGGAGATGCTGGAAGCAACATGTACACAAACAGACATAAGAAATAGGTATCAAAACTAGCAATACAGCTGTGAACACAAAGTTTACACACACTTGTAAAGACCATGTATTTGACTCCTATAACCTATATATAATTAAAGCCAAATCATTTCTTTCCTTCCCATTAAAGGGTTTTTTTTTTTGGTTGTTTTTTTTGTTCCTTCCCACCGTTGCCACCATTGGGTTCTCTGTTCTTTTTTATTGAACTGAAATAAAACCCATGCGTCTTGGTCACGGAAAACAATTATGTATTTGGCTTCTTTCAGAAGAATTATAATATAGGTCTTCTGGAAATGTGACCAAATCTACTGGGTCAAAGATATACAGTAATGCTAATATTTGGGTAAAGGTCTAAGCGACCATGTCCACTTCATTTGGGCCCCTTTGGTTTCTGTCCACAAGCTTCTAGTTGTATCTTTGATCCTCCTCTTGACACACTTGATGCAGTTCTACTAAATTTGTTAGCTTTCTGACACACACTTGTTTCTTCATGACAGCCTACAGGGTCTTGATGAGGTTTAGGTCAGGACTTTGTGAAGGCCAGTCTAAAAACTTAAGTTGGTCATTGGACTCAAATACCTTATAACTGTCAATGTTAAATAAATTAGAGAATAAAATGCAGACACGCTACAGGTATAATATTCAATTAGAATCAGCAGTACAGTAGAAATTATTTATTATTTATTATTATTATTATTATTTAACCTGAGAACTGCTGTGAAAAGTGGATGTACAGATGGTAAGTAACATCTTAATTCTTAAGGAGGGTGACTGATTGTATCATGTTTATTATTTTCTTTGTATATGAGGGTCCATGTAGTTATCTTTTGCTGCCCTGATCATTGGACATAGCGTTTGAATTCAGGTGAAAATGAATTTAATCTTTAATGCTGTGTGACTACTTCACTAAGTAATAATAGTCTAACCCACAAGCTGCAGCTTAAACCTTTTGTAACTGTAAATTGTCTCTGTTTTACAACAAAGTGTAAGAGCCCTTATTAGCATTTAAAGTTTTACATTTGCATTAAATTTACCTGCACAACAGTCTGCCCTGAAACTGGGCCACCTCCAGCGGTGAAAAGCAAACGCTGAAGTTCTGTGTGGCTCCAGGCTCTATGGCGCCGAAGTTGGGCTCAACGCTGAGAGGAGGCAGCTCGAGGTTCCCCGTCAGAACAGACATCACGCTAGCCAGAGCGCTGGAAGGTCGAGATCCAGTCCGCGATCCTGCTGACCGGCTGCCAGGTCGAGGGGTGGAAGTCCCATCTGTTACAGACAGTGCATGTTCAATTTACAAGTCCTTCCTTTAAAGCATTAAAATATTCATAACAAGTACATAACATGTCCAGTTCTGGAACATAATGGTACAGGAAGAGCAGTTAAAGGTGATATTCAAAGCCACATTCATCACTGATAAGTTAAACTAATGACAAACAAAAACATGTGTGCAGTACCTCCTTGGTCACGGCTGACAGTGCTGCTGTTTGGATCCATGAAGACTTGCCAGGAGAAATCCACTCTGACTTTGCCCTCATTCACTATCTGCAATCTAAATGTGCATACACACAGACACACACACACACAAACACACAATAAAAGGATAGACATTCATTAATAGAGGATTTTACAGTGACTGCTGAATTAAAATGCATGGAGTACAGGAAGGGAGTTTAAGCTACATGACATGAGGTACAGTTCAACCTATATTGTTGTATTGACCTTCAGTAGTTTTATAACTTTGTATCTGAAAAGTACAAGTCCAAAAACAAATTTATTTGTTATTTGTTGATTCAAAAATTGGATGAGTACAGGTGGACAACAACCTGGACTGGCTCTCCACATTAAGGCGCTATATAAGAAGGGCCAAAGCTCTCTGCATTTTTTAAGAAGGCCACTGCTGTGCTCTTTGTTGTGATGTGCTGGAGAGAAAACACTCGCACAGCACACAAGACCAGGATTAATAAACTCATCAGGAAGACCAGCTCCATCATTATGAGTGAAATAGACACTATTCAGAAAGTGACAGACGTACGTGAGGATGCTCTCAAAACTGATGGGTGCAAATGTTGACCTCTGTGCATAATGCTACATATATTCTGAGACTCCAAATGTTTCTACTTACTGTTTTCTATTTTATGTTATGTTGATAATTCAGATATGCAAGCCATTTTTTTGCACACTGAATATATGATACATGCCAGTTGTGTATTTTTTACATCACAAATGATTTGCATTTATCCACATACTGCACATTTTCTGTACTGTATAGATTGTACATTACATTCAGGTCGTTTTGTTTGTTAGTTTGTTTTACCATGGTAACATGTCCATTTGATGTTCCATCTATCAGTTTATTGCACACAGAGTCTGACTTACTGGTGGAGCCTGGTTTGGTAAAGCATGGTGTCTTTGAAGTGGATGGTGTCGGTGTTGCAGCTGAACTTTGCATAGTCACAAACTGCACTGACACGCAAATCCAACTCCCACTGAGAGCCCTCGACCACAGAGCAGCTGGGCTCAGGATCTGTCTTTATCACCTGCACGCAAACGAACACGTGAATGAACATATGCAGCACCCACACGTCACTACAGCACAACAACCGAGAGACCACGACTACCTTATTCTGCACAGGCTGCTGAGGTGCATCTGAAGCCTGCTTTGAGGAGCTCAGCCACTGCACCGTCCTCTTCCTGTCGTCCCAGTCAGCCACCTGCTCAAGTGGCTGCTGGAACTCCACCTGACAAATCTTACATCTCACTGATTCTCTGCTCAGAGCTGCTGGCTGACTGGACCTAAAGGTGACAGTCACTTCCTTCGAACAACCAGCATGAAGGTGACCCACCTAAAAAAATGAAACAACAAGCAGAGTCTTTTTAAAAAATCAAATACAGCCAAACATTTACCAAAGCAAACATTAAAAAGTTTATTTTTTTAAAATATCATTTTAGAATATGACATACATCATATACTTTAGTTTTTCATTTATAGCTTTAACCACAGGGTACACATCAAGTTGATAGAAGGTGATAAATAGCTTGTTAATATGATTTAAAAAAAAACCCAAAACAACAACAAAAAACGTGAAACTTGTTACTTGTACAATTTGGGACCAGATCAGAAGTAAATTGTAGTATCTGAAAACCTTTATCAGTTTAATTCTTTTGTTCATTAATCTTCATAATACAGGAACTGTAAAGAGTAAAACAATATTCAATATGAACTTCTTAGCTTCACATGAATATGAATCACTTCAAAAACCGACTTCAGAAACACATTGACAGAGAACTTCACAATTTAAAGATGCTTTTTAGGATGATGAGCTGGTTTGCCTGTGGGAGAGTTGACCAATAGTTTCCAGTCACTGGAGTCAGTTTGTTTGCTAATTGACATTTCTACAATCCCAGCTGGAAAGTTAAAGCATTTCTGAAAACTGTAGTGTACCAACTGTCATGCTTTTTATTATCACATGTCATGTGGACTGTGGATGGATTATTAAAGTTGTCTACTCTGTACAGGCCCAAGACCACTGAGCCTGAGCCTCTGTGTGAAACAACAGAAGAGAAAACGACTACAATCATATGCAAAAAATTCCACAAAATGACTACAAAGGCAGAAAAAACAACTGCAAACTGATACAAAACAACTGTAAAGAGAAAAAAACTAACAATGAGAAAGCGACGATAAATCTTTTGGTAAAGGGTGATGCCTTTTATAGGTCTCTGCCCAACAACAGCTGTGTAATTGATCTGCCAATGGTTGTATGTGACATGAAGTATTTAGTAATCTCACCTCATATTAATACATTTAGGGTTGATAGATTGGCATTTATTTATTAAAATGAATACATGTAATATATTTTTACTAATGTACAGTAGTTTGCTGAGATGAACCAGTGCTTAAAAAACCCTCTCTCTCCACGTCTGACCCACGTTTAAGTGTTTCTACAATCTGCATTCCTTTATTTAGTTACCTGCGGTGAAAAGACGAGATGGGGTCCACCTGGATGCCACTCAAACCTCACCACCTGGCTGCTGCCGTGGTTGGTCATGGTGAAACTCTCTTGGTATGGCCAGTCTACGTGGCAGTCGCCAAAATTCAGCACCTCGTAATTATCTAAAAGAGAGAAATATGCCTTTTAGTTCAATTCAGGAGAGAAAACAAGCTTCTGTTTTACTAAATCACAGCAATTCTCACAATCAGGGGGCTGCAGCTACTTCTGAAATACCTGCTGTACACTTTACACCTTTTCCTCTCTATTTCTACCATGTTATATGTCTCCCTCTCTCCTATTCACTCCCATGCCCTCCCTTCTTCTCATACCTTCCTCGTCCTCCTCCTGATCCATTTCCTGCGATGACCGGTTGATGTTATCCAAAGAGACGAGTTCCTGGTAGGCCTCTCCTGTCACTTGTATCGTGGTATTGCTGTACTGGTTGTCCTCCACCTGCAGGGACATCTGTGTCTTGACACTCAGGGGTTTGTCAGAGCAGAAGCAGACCTCAAACTCCACCGATTCATTAACATCCAGCCTCAGAGTGGCTCTGTGCATCACCTGATGCTCTGCGGAGGAAGAAGAAGAGGATTCTTCTGACACAAGTGACCCAAGACAGAAGTAAAACACATCAGGACAGAATTGTACTGACACTGCACATACTGTCTATGTGCTTATTCCACTGGATTACTAATATAAAAACAACAAATTATTATGGTTGACATTAGTGTGTTAAAGTCTATGAGGGTCCAGACTTAAGAGCAGTGTGAGAAATTAACATCTGGGATATATTGTAGATTCTAAAACACAGAGCCTCAGCAATAACAGCAGCACGAGTTCATGGGAACTGAACTGAGCAAAAGTGAAAAGAATACTGACGTCTTAAAGTATACGTGTAACTATGAATTATTCAAGTGAAGAGGAGGTACATTTTACAGCATTTATTGGTTGAAGTGTTACCTGAGGCAGTGATGCTGTCAATCTGTGTGGAGCTGCAAGTGTTGCCAGGAGCAGCTTTGAGGGCGAAAGCATCATGTTTATCCAGCATCTCAATCTGGACCTACACAACAGTTTCAGAAAACACGTCTCTTCACAAAATCCTTCCCAGGCTGTGTTATGATCATAAGGGCATTATAAATATGTAATATATCTAAAATGTTTTTGGTTTATTTGTATTTGATGCAAGTGAAAATAAAAATACAGGAAGAATATACAGAAAATTTTGAAGTTTCGTTTTCTTATTATGATGTAAAACTGGGCAGAGTAATGTGTTTCCTCTCACCTGAGCTGGAATATTTCCATCATTGAGCAGCACCAGGGGCATGGTGTGTCTGCGTCCTACCAACACGCGTCTAAACTGCAGCATTGGGTTTCCGTCGCAGCTCCTCAAAGCCGGACGCACCACACACACGCTGGGAAGAGTTCCCTTTCCGATCAGGTCGAACTCCAGCACCTTGCCTTTGACTGTGGGTGTCGTTCTGGATACATCGCTGGGACGAACGCTGGACAAGAACACAAAACAAAAGGTGGTTCTATTCTCTTACTATAATCACAGCAGTGGGAGAAAAAATGGAAAAAAGACAGTAATGCAGTTTAAAGTTTGAAACAAAAGTTTATACACTTGTAAAGGGAATGTATGTCATTACAACTTTGAGTTTCCAGTGACTCTTATAACACTGAATTTTCTATGATGGAGTATTTAAAACACGTGTGTTCGTCACAAAAAACAATCACACATTTTGCTTCATTCCTTAATTTATTATAGGTCTTTTGGAAATATGACAAAATCTGCTGGATCAAAAATATACATACAGTAATGCTAATATCTGGTTAAATGTCCATTCAGCCATTCTTAATTCAACTAGGCATTCACCAGCCATTCACAAGTTTCTGGTTGTATCTTTGACCCCTCTCTTGACAGAATTGGTGCAGTTCAACTAAATATGTTGGCTTTCTGACACCGATGCCTTAACAGAGTGTAAGTCAGGACTTTGGGAAGTCTCTTTTGGGAAGGCCTTAACTTCTCTCTTCCAAAGCATGTATATTTTTGACCAGCAGATTTTGTCATATTTCCAGAAGACCTGTAATAGATGTATAAAAGCACCAAAGTGCATGGCTGTTTTTTTGTTTTTTTGTGACAGACGCATGTGTTTCAATAATTCCATATTCCATAGCTCCAGATTGCCAAGATACACATGATCTTTACAAGTATAAACTTTACTGTATTTACCTGCTGGTTCCCTCAATCGTGGCCTCAAAGACAGCACGGTAGAGCTGCATTGCCTGAGGTGTGAAGGTGACCACAGCAAACGCCTGTGACTGGTTGGGAATGCTCAGTGTTGTAAGAGACAAACCAAAGACCTCCATGTTTCGAGATGTCTGTAAGGAAATACATAATAGTTTGACCTTTAATGTAACTGCCATTTACTGTACCACAATCAGTGGTAGTCCTGTATAGCTGCACAACAAAGCTTTAAACATCTTACCTTAGCGCCAACATATTTGATGGCCAAGCTGAGCACGCAGGACACCTTGCTGTTGTTGGTGAGTTTGAAGCGAGCCTGAGCGGTTTGTCCCACCAGGACTTTGTTGAATATAAACTTGTTCTCCTCCAGAACATAAATGCATTCAGCATTGCAAAATTGCTCAGAGGAGAGCTGGCTGCTGCTGTGACACAGATGGTGTTCCTCAAAGATGGAGGCCATGTCTAACACTATACCTGGGGGAAAGAAAAAAAAAACAAAACACACACACACAAAAAACTGAATTAGATACAATATTAGTTGAAGTAATAGGACCAGCCAGAGGTGGAGAATGGTTAACATTTAACACTTTTTTCCCCCCTTGATGTAGACCCTGTAAATATTAACACAGCCAGTGCACAGTGACATTTGGAGAACTCGTGCATATAGCGTGTTTGGAAACGAGCCATGTGGAATGAAGTCACAGTCCAGTCAGGTTCACTAATCAAATAAGACTCTTTCTGCTCTCACCTGGCTTGCAGACTTCAGCCAGCAGTCTGTAAGGAATGCCATCGGGGTGGTCTGAGGGGTCCCGGCCACTGATGTCAACAAGCAGACCTTGGTTCCAGCTTCCCAGCTGTTCAGCTACACAGTCCACTGTCACCTTCTGCTGAGACCCAGGCTGCAAGGTCCCTGTGCAGGGAAACACTGAGAACACCCCTGTGGTGAGGCGATTCTGGGAGGGACACATGGAAGAATCAGAGGAAGGAGGGAAAACTGGGAGAACTTCAAAAATAATTAATAATATTTAATCTAATTAATTAATTCTTTAATCTTTGATTTTTAACTTTTAATCTTCAATCTTATTCTTCAATTTTTAAACGGCCTTGATTCTTTGTTTGAAATGCATCCTATTCTAGGTAATTATTCATTTAACCTTTCATCATCATTTCTATTATTTATTTTATTTGACCAATCTGCTATGTCTCCCTGTGCTTTATGTCGTGCTTGATTGTCTCTGTGTTTACATGTTTTGACAGTCAAAGCACCTTGTAATAATAATAATAATAATAA